CTGAGCTTCCTTTCTGAGCCTGTTTTTCAATCCCTTCCATCAACTCTGTAAGTTGTGCAGTACCTTCCAATAAAATAATTTTTCTATCTGACGTTTGCAACACTCATTGGCAAGACATTGGTGCTAGCAAGTAGGTTGTGGACAATAGTAAACCACTAGGGAGAAGGGAATAATGTAGAACTGTTTCTGGATTCATTAGGGCTCAGGGAATTTGGCAGATTAAGGCATGTGGTAGTTTTTTATGTTCCTGAACCCAATTCCAACTTGTGGGGTTGTTGGGGGCTGCTTTCCCCCACCCCACCAAGCAAGTCTCCGATACCAGTTGGGTGGGCATTCAGCTCAATTCTGACTATCTAACTGGAGATAGCATCAGATTCCACAGGTTAAGGGTTCAGTCCTGTAAGACTGCTATTCCCCCAACCTACTCCCCACCCCGCAACTTTAGATTACAGTCAAAAGTCCAGATTGTCACCTGTACTTCTGAACAACTGGCTATAAATCAGAGGTCCTCATGACACCCTCGTTTCTTGGGTTTAATTTGCTAGACTGGTTCACAGAACTGAGGAAACGTGTATACTTACTAGATGACCAGCTTATTATAAGAGGATATAACTCAGGAACAGCCAGATGGAATTGATGCGCAGGGCCAGGTGTGGAGAAGGGGTGCAGAGCTTTCATGCCCTCTCCAGGGGTGCCACTCTCCCAGCATCTCCATGTGTTCACCAACCTGGAAGCCCTCAGAAACCCATCCTTTTGGGTTATTTATGGAGGCTTCATTACCTAGGCTATGGTTAATTAAATCACTGGCCTTTAGCAATTGATTCACCCTTCAGCTCCTCCTCCTCCCTGGAGATTAAGGAGGGACTGAAAGGTCCAACCCCTAATCACAGGGTTGTTTCTCCTGGCAACCAGCCCCCATCCTTAGGTGTGAAGTCCACAAGTCACTCATTAACATAACAAAAAAACCCTTTGTGGCTGTCATCACTTAGGAAATTACAAGGACATTTGGATCTCTGTGCCAGAAACGAGGACGAAGACCAAATATATATTTCTTGTTATAAATCACAATATAACAGATAGTCATACAGTTAATTAAAGCAATACATTGGATCAATGCAGTGCCCATTGAAGGCATAGTGAGTGCTCACCACCACAGAACAGTGAATAACAGGCTGTTATTGAAGTAGCCTGAGATACTTTGTCTAAGTAAGAACAGGAGTCAGAAATTTCATTTGTTTGTTTGTTTGTTTGTTTTAACCTCCATGCATATAGGATAAAGAAGGGAGTGCCAATAAAAGTCTTCTGGTTTATCAAAGAAACTTTTCAAGTATTTTTAGCCTTTCTAAAAGTGAGGGCAACCACTGTATATATTATATTAAGGCAGCAAATAACTAAAATAACAGACAACCGCAGCTTCTTTAGAGGTGAAAAGTAACTTACCCAGGCCGCTGAAACCATCTGAAGTCAGTGTTTTACAGACTCCTTTGTTAAGAAATATGTTTGCATGTACAGTGCCAATACACAGAATTATATCTGATTTTCTACAGCTGAAGTAAGAGTGAACATTTATCCTTTTGTGCTTGTGAGACAGTGATTTCTTTCATCAGAGGTTAGAAGGGTCTGCAGCTTCAAGCCAAGCAATGAAATCCTGTCGGTTAGTAGTGAGGGAGGAAAAAAAGGCTGAAAAGCTTAAAGCTTACAGTATGGAAAAGAAAAGGGCCTGAACAATTTTTTTTTAATAATTATTGTACAAACGTGTCATATTTTGTATTTACCAGAGTGTGAGGGATTCATGGACTACAGGTGGTAATGTAAAGAAATAGAATGACATCCTCAAATCTCTAAAATTTTGGCTTAAAACTCAGAAACCAGGGACTTTCAATGACTGGATTTAAATAATCTCTTATCTATTACATCTGAAAATCAAAAGCAAATTTTTATCCTGTGGATTGCCCAAGCAACGTTTGTTGAATTCACAGCATCACCAAAGGTCTTTTGTATAAGTTATGTTATTGTTAAGAAAATAGTGGTCTCTCAAGAGCTGGGATGGAGATATGTGGACAGAGTTAGGATGGAGCCCCGTGGGGAGACTTGGAACATAGGAACTGCCAACCCTCAGTAATTCTCCCGTGGAACCCCAGGAAAAGCAGCCCTCCCTTCCCATGTTTGATGAGGCTGATTTTCTGTTGCTAGAAGATAATTTTTTAGCCTAAGGGCACCATCTTAGAAGAAGAAGCTAGTGCTATGCAAGGATTCCATACCTATCAATAGACTCATTACCCCAGTATTTCTTCAGCTGGAAGTCCAATTAAAAACTTGAGCCTTGGTGGAAAAGGATCAGTCACAAAATAATTTTAATACGAGTTTACATGCTGGAAACTCTGAATTCAGTGTGTTAGTTCAAACAATTGGGATAAATTCTGATTGATGGCTTGGTTGGTTGACTGAGATGTACACACACACACACACACACACACACTGGCCCCCCCCAAAATGGTCTTGAAGACACAAATGATTATAGGAACACTTTCCCAAATTCCAAGTTTACTTAATCTTTTACTTTGCTGCTCTTCTCTTATTCTACATCTATGAAGTCATGGGATTTCCCAATAGCAGAGGGGGAAACAATTTGAGTTTGACATACGGTGGGTGTATACCATGTGCATAAGCGAGGGCTGTACCTCTGTCGTGGTGCTCATGGGTGGTGGTGTAGGATGGTAGAGGAAGACAACCCTAAGAGGACAGGGCTTTGAGCAGAATACCTGTAGACCATTTTCAGTTGTATGAGGGGTGGTTGCACTGCTGCTGTTAGTGGAGAGCGGTCTATTTTTTTTTTCATATAAGAAGATGGGGTTATGAGACTTTTGCATACCCAAAGGGATAGACTGCAAGGGACTTAAATTTAATTTTATCTATCCGATTTCACTTTATATTTTTTATATTTAAAGGAAAAAAGCTTAATATAGATTCAAGATTCACATTATAGTAAGTGATAAAATATCCTTTTCTTGATAAGCGTTCAAATTTGGCATTTTTTCTACTGGGTTGTTGGAAAAGTCATGATGCATTTTTGCAACAAATTTTTATTTTGCAACATAGAAAAAATACGTCATGACTTTTCTGACAACCCAATATTTAACTTATCCTGACACCTTTTTTTCTAGGCACTTCTATTACTTTTCCCCATCTTTTTGTCTATGGTTACATCGACAGAGTCCCTCTCTTATCCCAGTTGTTTAGGAAGTTTTCTCATACATAAGCTAGGATGATTATCATTAAACATTTTAATACATCTTTTAACTTTACCAATACCGTGTTTCCCCGAAAATAAGACCAGATCTTATATTAATTTTTGCTCCAACAATCTACATTTATTCATTTATTCATGTACAAAAATCTACATTTATTCAAACAGTCATGTCTGGTTGATGAACTTAACTGGGGCTTATGTTTGGGGTGGGGCTTATATTATGAGCATCCTGAAAAATCATGCTAGGGCTTATTTTCCAGTTAGGTCTTATTTTTGGAGAAACACGGTGTATCTAGGTAATATCTATAACCTTCCTCTCCCTTCATCCCCAAGTATACTGTTAGCTATCCATCTTCCTGGGTAGAAATGTGGCATTTTAGTTTCCAGTTTTCCTTGTTGCTTTTTGGTGTGGAAAGAAAATATATATTATGTATATCGGTTTGCACGCACCCTAGATTGCTAAAATATATCCTCCAGTAATTCTTTCAAAGAGTATTTTATTTTATTTTTTTACTATTATGGTGATATTCCCCATCATAAGGACCTTGTCCCACCCTCAAGAAGTAAACTGTTAGTAGAGATTTCCCCACTCTGACAATTAAGACATGGCCCTTCATCCAGGTTGACCAGTTAGAAGCTGCAGAAACCAAGGAAGGCAGACGCAGTTGTTCAGATGTTCAATTGTTCTAACCAGACTCACTCTGAAATATGTTCTTGGCTGTGGTCTCAGCTCCTTAGGCCCCCTTCCCCCTGCCAGGGTTTAGTTTGAAGTTTACCAGCATTCTCAGCTACACTGTACCCCACCTTGTTTTTTCCCAGAATATCATTCTCTGCTCGTCTTCAACGGAAAAGGCTTCTGCTGTTTACAATCGGAATCCTGCCTGATATAACTACTCACAGCATGATGCCTGGCACGTAACAGGCGACCGTTAAATGGTAGTGACTGCTGCTTTACTTAACAAACTTTATGATTTTATTAACTGGCAGCAAAAGCCCTTAAGTCTCTTTCTAGGTATTTATGTTTAGTCTGCTCTGGAATAATCCTTGCATCTACTTAATCATTCTAGTTGTCTCTCTCTAGAAGCTTTCTTCCTCCTCTCTATCAGTCTGTGAGATTAGCAAAATTGAGTGGTTGTTCTTTTTAGTGAAACCTGAGGTTTCAGGACTACCCAGAAATAGCTAGTGATATTGATACTTTGGCTACGGATTTTTCGCTGGATTTTGTAAACTGATCTACCTTTAGCTCTAACATCCAGAAAATCTACTTAAAATTTCAAAAACCATTTTGCTTAAGACTTTAACAAGTATATATATATATATATATATATATATATATATATATATATATAATATATATATATAGTCACATTGCATTTTATTTTTTTTCTGTTAAGGATGTGCGTTTAAGTGGCTTAGTTGGTTAATTTATGAGAACTAATTCAGATAAGTTGTGATTGGTCTAATGGTATAAAAAATTATTGTTTAAGGGGGAGATATTACTTAAATTATGTGAACAAGAACCTGACTTAAAGACTTTAGTGATCATCGTGGAAAAACTACTGTTGAGCCAAGTGCCTAATCTGGTGGTAAGACTCCTAAAAAAACTGTGGCCTAGTTGCCAACAGACGTGCCCTTATTGTATAGCACAAAGAGTTGCCCTGAGCAGGAAATCTATTATTACTTGGGCTTTCAAGAGGCATAATGCAGATTGACAGTCGTGAATCTCTCACTCTGCGATTCTCTCTTCCAGCCCCTCCTGCACCTCTGGAATGCCTCCGCGATGTATCCTGTCGCCCTTTTCAGGTAATCTCTTGCTATTTTATTCCCCAGAGAATCAATTAGGGAGAAGAAAAGCGGGGTCCTTATTGCTGTGGTTATTTCATACGTTTGGGGTTTATTTTCATGAGAGACATAAATGTTTGACTGTCTCTTTTGGGTTCCTGGGCCCAATTCCAATTCGTGGCAGTGGGGGATGAGATGGGACATCCAGGAATTCAGTGCAACTCAATTATGACACTATTTGCCCAGAGATAGCATCGAATCCCACAGGTTAAGGGCTCAGTCCTACCAGACTGCCCCTCCCCCACTTCAGACGCCAATCACGAGTCCAGGTTGTCATCACCTGTACTTCTGAGAAACTGGCTATAGATCAGAGGTTCCCACAATCCCCCCCTTGGGTTTGATTAATTTGCTAGAGAAGCTCATAGTACTCAGAGAAACATTTTACTTCCTAGATGACCAGCTTATTATAAGAGGATACTCAGGAACAGCCCGATGGAAGAGATACACAGGGCCAGGTGTGGGGAAGGGTGAGGGCTTCCATGCCCCCTGTAGGGGGGCCACTGTCCCAGCACCTCATGTGTTCACCAACCTGGAAACTCTCCAAACCCCATCCTTTCAAGGATTTTAGGCATGGCTAATTTAATCAACCCGCCCCTCTCAGTTCTCCAGAGAGGTTGGGTGTGGGACTGAAAGTTCTAACCCAGGGGTCAGCAAGGTTTTGAGACAGAAGAGCCGCCAGGGGTCAGCAAACTTCGGCCCGTAAGCATGTGGCTCTGAAGTAAAATTGAAAATGAAAATAAAACTATCATAGTTTCATTTATAAAAATTTTAAAGGATATTATTCACTTAATGGTGATGATGTAAAAATATATTTATGACTCTCGAATAATTTTTAAATTGTTGTGAGGGACAGGATTGGCTCTTCCAGGGGTCGGCAAACTTTTGAGATGGACCGTACCCCAAGGGCTGCATGAGGTGGCTCGTGAGGCAGTTTGCCGACCCCTGGTCTAATCCCTAATCTCTCTAATCACGTGGTTGGTTCAACCAGCCTCCTTCCTTAGCTGTGAGGTCCGAAAGTCACCTCACTAACATAAGGAAAGATCCCTTTATGGGTCTCACTTAAAAAATTAGGAGGGTTTGAGGAGCCCTGTGCCACAAACTGGGAGGAAGACCAAATATATATTTCTTATTATAAATCACAATATCACTGCACCCAAAGTCACTAAAAAAGAGTCAGTGTAGCTGACTCTTCCAGGGGGCGAAAGGGGTCTTAAGGAAAGTTGGGAGTATCCATTATTCATTTAATGTTTTTGGTTGGTGGCAATGAATGCAGGCCCTGCAGGAAAGGGCCAGAAGCAGTGTTTCCAAGACTCTTGCCTTATGACCTCTAGCCCAGAACACCAGCTCTTTGTTAAATATTTATTTATAAAACACTCCTAGGGTATTCTGTGTACGCTTCCACTGAAAGCGGTGCCGTGAGGCCTAATTATTCTCTCCTTTCTAAAGCAAAGCAACCGGTCTGCAAACTGCTCACATGCTGGTTGATTCCCCGGGATAGACCACATGCACGAGCAAAGCCACACTCCCTTCATCCTGGCGGGCACAGTCCCAAGCTCCAGGGGGCCGTCCTAATTAGTCTTAATCTACCATTGAGAAACATTCCCCTGGGCAGAAATTGGTGTCTAGATATGACTTAATGCCGTTCTGGCCAATGAGATTTGAGATCTGGGGGATAGTTTACATTGCTGATGAAAAGGGACACAGTGGACGAGCTGGCCCCTTTCCTTTCTGTGGACATTGCATGGAAGGCCATCCTGTGACCATGACTTCACCAAGGACAAAGGGTCAAGGGAGGCTTTCATCAATAGTACTCATAAGATTTTCTCAGCACTAGCACAGCATCCACAAAATTTTAGGACCTGTCAATCCTCAGCCCTTGGAGCATCCAGTCCAAGCAACATTGTTCTCAGAACCCGGCCCTTAGTCTGAACTCGCAGTACAGATGCCAAGGGCATAGCAGAGAATCAGTGGGAGCTGAGGGCGCCAGTGTAGACACAGGAGGGTAAATCTTCCTAGTGAAGCCTTGCTAAGATGACAATCATTTTGTTCAAGGAGAACAGAATTCAAATTATTCTGAATTTAAACTCCATCAAAGAAATTTCCCATCACGTGGTTAATTTGGGCACTACCCATTTGCTGTATCTGGGGGCGGGGGATTGATCTGTGTTCAATGTCTCTTCTCTAAGAGGTAGCAGTTCAGATCCATTTGCCTTCTTGAAAAGTTTAGAAACACTTGTTGGCTCTTGCTATCTCCAGTTCCTCTCCCATCAGTCACTCTTCAATCCCTCCAGTAAGGCTTCTGATGCGACCCCTTCATGGAAAATGGCTCTTGCTAAGGTCACCATTGGCCTCCATCTTGTTGGATCCAATTATCATTTTATAGGACCTCCTACCAGTGGGGATGGCATCTACTGTGCTTACTTAAGTATTCTTGGTGCCCAGTATAGTGTCTGGCACATAGTAACTGCTCAGTAAACATTGGTGAATGAATGAATATGTGTTCCATATCACGTGATGTGTGGAGGGCAGAGTCAGGTCTAGAATTCAGATTCCAGAATTTTTGCTACTAAAACTACCTTGATAGAGTTGTAAACAGTAAGACTGGGGTATATAACATTTACATTTTCTAAAGAATGAAACAAAAAAAACACACCTTTGTTTTTTTGTTTTTATAAACAACGAATTCCAGGAGCACATTGAGCCTATGAGACACTTTCCCTTTTTAAACATTCTTCCCAACAAGTTTTCTGGCCCAGCAAGCAGGTACACGATGAAATGTCTTCAGAAATTTTCTCACCTAAGCATCAGCTTTGTTTTGAGTTCCACACCTTCCCTCAACTTTCTCAATAATGCTCTGAAAGAACAGTTAAGCCCTGAAATTTTGACAAGGGAACAGGGAGAAAATAATTTGTTTTAAAGCTTCCTAATCAATCACATAAACTGCCAGCTAATTATTACAATGTACCACATAGCCAAAATTATGAGCATGTTTTTTTTGTTTTTGTTTTTGTTTTTAAGATTTTTAGTAGGGTATTGGGGGGATGGGAACAATGCTGGGGAATTGGGGGAAGGGGAACAGACAAGTTGCTGTCATTTTTGTTCTTCAATCTAGTTGTGGAGGACGTTGCTTCACTGGCCCAAGTTGGCACCATCATTGCGCTCTTCCCAGGCGAGGCAGATCAGCTGCCGGCTTCTGGACGGCCACTCACTGTGGCTGCTGGCCGCTCATGCTGGCTGCTGGCCACACACGGTAGCCCATGGCAACCCACTGCAGCAGGGGCTGCAGCCTACGCCCGTCGCCAGCAACTCACGGCAGCTCAGCTGCAGGTTGAGCTGTTGTTCAGCATCTTACCTGTGGAGGGCAGTGTCACTGGCCCTCATATGTGGGATCCAAACCGGGGCCCTCTGGCATCCCAAGCCAGTTCTTAACCATCGCGCCACTCAGCCGGCCCGAGTATGTTTTGTAGAGATGGCTTCAACAGCCATCCTGGGTGGGCCAGAAGAGCCTGTAGGAAGGTCCTGCTATTCTAACCAAGGCAAACAACATGTCCACATGCCTTCTATCTTCACCGCTTAGGCAGCAAATCAGGTGTTTGAAGGTTTTTTTGTTTCTTATTTTCTCCAGTGAATCTCATGAAATCTCAGGCAGAAATAAAGGCAATAGACTTCACAGCTTTTTTGAAGGGAATGGCCTCATGCCATTGCAAGTCTTTATGGGAAAGACAAATGTTAGCTTATTCTAAAGAATGACTATGCTTGACTATCAATCCTCTTTTTGTGACGGTGCCATCCTAGTGCCAGCAGCCAAAGAAGAACTGGGAAAGGTATTTACTCAGAGCATCCAGAAGCAAAGTAGCAAGAGAGGGCTTCTGAACGTTAGTCAAGGTCAAAGTTTAGTAAGAGGGATGGAACATTAGGCCTTCAAGATGGACCACGGCCATCAACGGGAAAAAGAGTAGTGGGGTTGGAAGCCCAGGGGATTGGGTCCAGGTTGGAATACAGTGTGCTGGGTGGGTCTTGGAAAGAGGGTCAGGACTAGGTGACACTCAGCGTCGAGTTCCAGGTTGATGAATCAGGGAGACATCTTGAAACATTGGCAAGATGCTTTTATGCAGCCAATCCAACATTGCTCACTCACCTTTGCAGGTTTCACTTCACTACAGAACCCACAAAGGAAGACAATCTAGTATAATATCTGGTCCAGTTATGTATCCTGGTTACCTCTGGAATAAAACAAAAATTTGCCTGATACTGTCCAGTGACATTTTACCTTTTAGGGTTATTTTCTCTTTGAAGGACAAACATACCTTCAAACACATTTCTTCCAATTTCCCGTATTCTGTAAATACTATGATAACCGTATAGCAGCCAGGCGTGGATATAACAAAGTCTGAAATTTAGGGTAACAAAGTAGGACATTCCAAAATCAGGCATCTTCTGAATTAATAACCTATTTTTGGTGATGCTTTTTTTTTATGGTGACCTCTGTAAGCTGATATTGTACTTTTTATAGTAAAGCCTATATTTTGTACAGATTAATACAGCCCTTGGCCTTGACATTCCCAAGGAACTGGGAAAATACAAGAGTCCCCACAATGATGATGGACCAGGAACTTAGGAGGAGTTAAAGGGTGCTATATATGGGGGGATAGCTATAGGGTTGTCGGAAAAGTCATAACGTGTTTTTTCTGTTTTTCGTTGCAAAAACGTGTCATGATTTTTCAGACAACCCAACAGATGTGCCTGGTTACTTAGTCATACCAGGGAAGGTGAGAGAGTTAAGAGAGAGAAACTAATTTCATTTGGGGTTTGGGATTGGGACATCTGGTGCTAAAGGAAGAGTGACTCTTCCTACCCAAGTTCTCCAATCCACAGCGACCACCCCAGTACTCAGGTTCCCAACACATGCTGGGGGTACAGCTTTGGCAATTTTAGACATGGCCACACCCAGATATCCAAGT